CGGCCTGTTTTCTTCCTATCTGCTGCCGGCGCACTCTTTGGTTGGTGCTCGCTGTGGGCAAACGAGTGCGGCCTGGAAAAGCGCTCAAGCACCTGCATGCAGGGCACAGTTTTCGGCCCGCCCGTCCGGCCTTTTTTCTTCCTTTCTGCTGCCGGCGCACTCCTTTGGTTGGTGCTCGCTGTGGGCAAACGAGTGCGGGCCCACCCGTTCGGCCTCTTTTCTTCCTTTCTGCTGCCGGCGCACTCCTTTGGTTTCTTTCCTTTTCCTTTCTGCTGCCGGCGCACGCCTTCGCTGTGGACAAACGAGTGCGGCCTGGAAAAGCGCGGGAAGCGAAGCTTTTGTGGCTGGCCGCTCCCTCTGGACCGATAGCCTTACTGCATATTGGACTCAAACGCGACGTTAGGCACCCGGCCGCGGCGGAGCAGGCTGCGAACGGGCTGGCCGTGACAAGAGCTTCAGCGCGCTGGTTGCGCCTGGCAGGCAGTTGAGCACCTCGGCCTGCTCCGTGCCAGGGGGCAGTTGGCGTAGTGGCATCACACCCGCTCAGCACGCGAGAGGGGCCGGGTTCAATCCCCGGCCTGTCCATGCCCATGTGCGCCTGCGTCTGGCACCGTTTGCCTATCCCTGGCACGAACCAAAGGAGTGCGCCGGCAGCCTGCTCAATATGCAGCAAGGCTTTCGGTCCAGAGAGAGCGGCCAGCTACAAAAGCTTCGCTTCCCGCGCTGTTCCAGGCCGCACTCGTTTGTCCACAGCGAGCACCAACCAAAGGAGTGCGCCGGCAGCAGAAAGGAAGAAAAGAGGCCGAACGGGCGGGCCCGCACTTGTTTGCCCACAGCGAGCACCAACCAAAGGAGTGCGCCGGCAGCAGAAAGGAAGAAAAAAGGCCGGACGGGCGGGCCGTGACAGAGCTTCAGCGCTGAAAACTGTGCCCTGCAGGTGCTGGAGCGCTCTCGGCCTCGGCCTGCGAGCCGTTGGTGTAGTGGCATCACACCCGCTCAGCACGCGAGAGGGGCCGGGTTCAATCCCCAGCCTGTCCATGCCCATGTGCGCCTGCGTTGGTCTTTCTCGCTTTGGGTTTGCTGTGCGTCTTGCCAAGGGCGGCTGCTGCGCCGCGGCCGGGTGCCGAACGTCACTTTTGAACCCTATATAGAAGTAGTAGAAAGTATAGAAAGTATAGAAAGTAGAAAGCTACCCCAGGGCGCAAACCTGGTGCTCGCTGTGGACAAACGAGTGCGGCCTGGAAAAGCGCGGGAAGCGAAGCTTTTGTGGCTGGCCGCTCCCTCTGGAACGATAGCCTTCTGCATATCGACCAAACGCGACGTGCCACAGGCACCCGGCCGCGGTGGAGCTGGCTGCCGGCTGGCCGTGACAGAGCTTCAGCGCTGAAAGCTGTGCGCAGCAGGTAGTTGAGCACTCTCGGCCTGCTCAGCTCAGGGGCAGTTGGTGTAGTGGCATCACACCCGCTCAGCATGCGAGAGGGGCCGGGTTCAATCCCCGGCCTGTCCATGCCGATGTGCGCCTGCGTCTGTCACAGTTTGCCTCTCCCTGGTCTTTCATCCCTTTGGGTTTGCTGTGCGTCTTGCCAAGACCGGCTGGTGCGCCGCGGCCGGGTGCCGAACGTCACTTTTGAATCCTATATAGAAAGTAGAAAGCTATCGGTCCCCAGGGCGCGACCAGCAAGAACAGCTTCGCGTCCAGAGCGCTTGGAGGCCGCACTCGCTTCGCCGCAGCGAGCACGAACCAAAGGAGTGCGCCGGCAGCCTGCTCCGCCGCGGCCGGGTGCCTAACGTCGCGTTTGAGTCCAATATGCAGCAAGGCTATCGGTCCAGAGGGAGCGGCCAACCACAAAAGCTTCGCTTCCCGCGCTTTTCCAGGCCGCACTCGTTTGTCTACAGCGAGCACCAACCAAAGGAGTGCGCCGGCAGCAGAAAGGAAAAGGAAAGAAAAGAAACGAAGAAGAACAAGAAAAAAGTGAAAGAAAGAAGGCTGGTAAGGTACAGGGCTGAACGGGCGAGGGCGAAAGGGAAGGGAGAAGGCTGCCACAGTCACGCTCCAACGCCAAACGAACACTCCCCCAGCGCCTTCCCCTTGCAGGCAGGGGGGTCGGCGGATATTAACAAGGTAGTCTTTGGGAATCCTTTTTGTGGTATCACAGAAGTGGTCATTCCCCACAGCCCTGCTTTGGATGATCTTGGAGGATTTCTGGTGCCACTGGCGACAGCACAGATCGGTGTTTGAATTATTTGTGCAAGCTCAGCATGGGTCTGCGTTGGAGTGACAGACCACCCTGCGCTGTTTCGACCAAGGACAGGCGGTTTCAATGCGTCAGAAAGAGTCTCTTTGGGGCGTGTCTGCTTTTGGGAGACCTGTTTGATCTTTAGGTGTTCAACGAAAAGGCACCCTAAAAACAGAGACACGCCCATTTGCGTGCCGCACGCCGACTTCGAGGTGGTCCTTAGGTTGGCAAGCTTTGCAGTTAAGGAGAGGTTTCCTATTGTCTGCAAAAGCCAGGGGTTCAAGTCCCTAAACCAATCCAAACCAGCAACGAAGGGATACCTGACCTTATGACTCTAAAAGTCTGCAACTGTTCATATTCTCTCCCCTTCCGGAACCAATTGGAGGTAAGCTGATCGAACAAACCATGGTTAAGACAGCATGAGCCCCACGGAAATGTGGGTATGGCTCAAAATTAAAGAGCTGGGGTTACGCGGGTTTTCGTCTTTGGCTCCATTTACCAAGGTGCCATTTTGGTACCACTTTTTTGAGCCACTGCCATGTGTAAATACGGTGAATGCCCCAAACAGTGCAAGTAAGGGAACAAGGGTACAAACACCCTGACCTTTGGGTCTTGGCCGTCTGGCTTTGGCGAATGATTGGCCGATACCGATGGCTGTGAAGTCTTTCTGGGCCGATCAATAAGTAGAGTGGTGGTGTATTTGCACCCTCAAACGAGCCTTAAAATTGGGTGATCACCCCATAATTGCGGGCAATAATCCATTTTTAAGGGTAGTTTGAGTGTCCAGGTACTTCAAAGCCAACTTATGTCATGGTTGTCAGAGAAGAATGCGTGTAGTTTAGTACCCGTAAGAGTCTGAACAAAGGGTCTCTTAACTTGAATGTACCCAGCCGTCCACGTAGGCTTTTAGGTTTTTAGGGTTTAGTGGGTTGCGCTTTTGGTACCCTTATCGGTGTCTTTTTTGGTGGTACCCTTGTTGGGGTGGTTTCAAACCACAAATTTTCAGGGCCCCCTATTTGAGACAGTCCCAAACGATGACCAAAGGGTCCCTTAAGATTCATGCCCATTGACGAGTTTGACACATGGATACCGCGGAAAGACTTGAAGGCGTACTTGGGTGCGTATGCGCTACTAACCGTATTTGTGCGTGTGCGTGCGTGCGTGCGTGCGTGCGTGCGTGCGTGCGTGCGTGCGTGCGTGCGTGCGTGCGTGCGTGCGTGCGTGCGTGTGTGTGTGTGTGTGTGTGTGTGTGTGTGTGTGTGTGTGTGTGTGTGTGTGTGTGTGTGTGTGTGTGTGTGTGTGTGTGTGTGTGTGTGTGTGTGTGTGTGTGTGTGTGTGTGTGTGTGTGTGTGTGTGTGTGTGTGTGTGTGTGTGTGTGTGTGTGTGTGTGTGTGTGTGTGTGTGTGTGTGTGTGTGTGTCTGTGTGTGTCTTAAAGGGTACCCCCAAAATGGTGAAATGCGCTTTCCTTTTGTCTTCCCCTTAAACCAACCCCAAAACGCATGTCCTCAACCAAAAGACAGACCCATTTGAAAACCACACATGGGTTGTGTTTCCTTGTGCTTTCGCCTTAAAAATCATCCAAGGCCAGGTCCCCCAAAAGTGCCCTTTTTTACCCTTTTTTGGTTGGGAGGGAAAGCCCCTACCAAAACACACTACAGAAAAGAGTTGGTACCCTTATTCTAATCTCTCTAATCTGGAGGGCCCAGTTAAAATCATCCAAGCGCTCCTTGGGAAGCCATCTGATCTGATTTCCATGCCAGGCGCCTCCGGACACTGTGGCCGCGCAGCTGGGTCAGCGAGATGCCGCGCGGGACCTGGCATCTGGCCGATGGAACACGAGGTGAAACCCATGGAAAACGGGACGTGGGGGGGGGGGGGGGTTGGGGTGGCGGGTTGGTTCAGTTTGTTTTTGGGCAAGGAATTTGGAGGGTGGAGATGGGTGGATGGGGGGGATGGGCGGATGGGGGGGATTTGTTTTTGGGCAAACAAGTTTGGAGGTCGAACAAGTGCCTCCAAAGAACTGGTTGATGGGTATGAGAACTAAAGCAAGTGGCTCGTGCAAATATACCTGGAAGAAAGGTGGATATTTGGAGTAGGGAGTGGCATGGTCAATTCAAGCTGGTCCCATGAAGGGTTTGTTAGTCAGGGGCTTGGGTGAAGTGTTAGCATCTCCCCAGACCAAAGCCTTCCTTTTGTCGTTGAAACCATTGCAGGAAACAGGTTCGTTTGTTGTGGCCCTGTTTGCTTTTATGCTGCCATTATTGTTGTCGTTGTTTTTTGCGTGACCATTGCTGGTTTTATATCGCTATGTCTGCCTTTCTATGGCCATGTTTTGTTTTTTTGAGCGGTCATCCCCTCTCCCCCTCTCCGCGGATGGATGGGATTTTGGGCAGACTCCTTTAGCATTCATGACTCAAGTGGATCCTTCGTTGGCAAACATGTGCCAACACTTCCACTTGCTTAAGAATATGCTTTTGTTTCCCGGAATCTATCACTACTGGAAACATGTCTATCTTTTTCAGGGGACGTAAGCAAACGGAAGAAAACCATGGTGAGCGCCATAGTTGTGCTGTCAAGTTTTTAGGATTCTTTCCCCACGGGTGCTGCTCATTTTTTGTTGTTTATTTACGATCTGTTTGTTGTCCGGTTCTGTTCATTGTTAGCAGGGGGCTGCAAAAAACCATCCGTCTGTTGCTGTACCAAGGGTGGTAATTTTTCAGAGCTTCGGACGTTGCTTGCACACTTTTCTTTGGATTTTGGGCCGCCGGGAGGGGCGCTATTGGGGCCCTTGGGGAAACCAGGCATGGGAGTTGGGGGTCTTTTGACCCTCCGTAAAGTTGGGAGAAGGGTGCATGCATAGAGGGCTGGCTCAATTACGAAAGCTCTTCTTAGACTTCTTTGGATATTGTTGCAAAACAGATTTTGAGTCCCTAGGAGCCCTAAAGAGGGCCTTGAGTTCCCAAAGGGCCTCAAATAATGAGGTCCAAGAGGCGTCGTGTCCAGCTACGGGAGGCTCTGAAGGCGGAAGCCCGTCGACAAGCGCGAGCGGAAGCCAGGCACGTGCGCAGTCAACATGAGACCCTCAAAAGGAAAACCACATGTTGTATGTTTCTTTCTTGGGGGGCAAAACCCCATTTGCATTTGCATTTGCAGGTGCTTTCTGTCGCCCCTAGGCCTCAATGAGTTTCACACGCGCGCTGGTACGCTCAAAGTCATCCAAACAGGGAAAACAGGGGGGGGGGGGGGCAAAAAAGACACGCCCAAACAAAAGCGCATAAAAACAAGTTTCACATCAAGTGGTAGTTGCCTGTTGCTCGATCAACTGGAGCAAGCTCTTTCGTGATTCGAGGAGAAAGGCGTAGTGCCATGCTGCAGCCGCGAAAGGTAGTGCAAGGTTTGCGCACCTACTCTGGATGGACGAAATCCGTTCGCACCCTTCAGAAACCCTACGGGATGAATCGATTCCCCAACGTCAAAACCAGCCAAGATTTGGATTTCAACCATGGTTTCATTCTGTGGTGCGAGAAGCGGATCTTGCAACCATCCATCGGTGGCTCAGTAGGTGGCTCAGTGCTTTTGCGATTCTCAGGAGTTGCAATTGAGGATAAAGGCGTAGTGCCAAGGTTCTTGCCCCACGTTAGCCATGGTTGAAACCATTTTCGTTGGTTTTTTACCGTGGAATCATCAGACAAAAAACAGCACATGTTTCGTTGGTTTTTACCGTGGAATCATCAGAAGAAAAAATGAAAAATGTTTAGTTTGTAATTTCCGTGGAATTCTCTAAAAAAAAAGTGTTGGTTTTTACCGTGGAATCATCCGAAACCAGGGTTTCTGACCGGTGCGATGTCTGGATCTCACATCCACACCATGTTGAGCCCTCTCACTTTTGAAGTCTGGTCTTTCCAACAAGTGGCTGTGGCGAATTCAAGAAACCAGAATTCCAAAATGGGTTGCCCGATCGGTAAGTGGAAACATGGACCAAAACCTGCCTTTTGCCCCTCCTGTTCAATTCTGAGCCACAGCCAAGTGACTTCAGGGGACGTGGTTTTTGCCGGGAAGGGAAACCACACTGGAAGGTTTTTGCCAATCAGACCCAAGTCGGAACATGCACCACCCAACACCCAAGAAAAGAAACCAGACACCGCGCATCTCCACCGGGTTTTTCACCCCCGGAAGGGGTAACATGCACCACCCAAAACGAAAGAAAAGAAGCCGCGCATCTCCGGGTTGTTTTCCCCGGAAGGGGCGAAGTCGGTGAAGTGGTTCCGTGCCTTTTCCTTTTCGCCGAGACCTTGGGCCACCAAGCCGCGGGAGGCCTTAGAGGAGCGCCGAAGCTTTTTGGACCACATGAGCCGAGACGCGACCCATCCCGCGGATTTTGGCTGCCCCTTTTTTTGGGGAAGGGTTCCCCTTTCCTTGAAACTCAGCCAACCCAAAAGGATGCCGTTTTTGTTTTTGTCCTTTCCCATGGCTACAGAATGCATGTACGCAAGATTTGACCACGTTTACCCTCCGAATGGGTCAAATGTTGTTGCATTTGTTTATCTACATGGACGGTCTGGGAATGCCACTATAGTAGGGAGTCATATCCTTAAAGACATGGTCCTTTTGGGTTTTAGTTCGGGTGGTAAGCCCTTCTGTACCAGGGAAATGGAATCACTGGACTTGATGAATGTCATGTGTTACAGGTATGTGACTAGAAGTCATTTGCCCAGAATGGTGGGTCATAGCATCTACCTGGGTACGTCGAATGGTATGATCCCGAGGTTCGAGAGAGTTCAAAGAAGTTGGAAATGTGAGGCGAGGGGGCTTCAGCTTGGCTAGGCATTGCGACAAGCGTAAGCATGGAAAAATCCTGAGTCTCCTCTAGGCCAGAGGTAGCATCCTGGGAATAGAAGTGACGATTGAAATCTAAGTTTTTCCCTTCATCCCAAGAGAAATTCGGGAGAGTCTGGAATGAAGTCATTCACTTTACAACAACTGTGACGACATCAGCATTCCTGCCTTCCCGCTTCTCCTTTTCACAATCCCCTCGGCTCACCGCTAAAACCATCCACCTCTGTTGACCTCAAAAGGTTCTACCATTTGAATCATTTGGGGACTATAGCACTTGGTGATTCCCAGCCATCCGGTTCCTTAGGTTGTTTTCGGCTTTTTAGTTGGTTGAGTGGTAGTTTCCACTCCCACTAAAAGTTAGACTTTAAGCTGGGGATTTGAGGGTAGCCCAGTGTAAGTTACAGTGTAAGCCTATGTGAACTTGAATCAATCGAGGTTTCGTTCTCAACATTAATAGACTTCGGGCAGTGCGATTGCAATCTCAAATCAGCAGCGGTGCAATAATGGACAGCATCTTTTCCCCTTCGCCTGTGTTCCTTCAACCTGCTTTTTGCGCAAGAAAGACATAGGTACTCCCAGACATGGCGGGTTGAGCCACCCTTCAAGAATGTGAATATACTGTGCACTTTGGGGTGCAAAAGATCGATCCCTTTGTCGCCGTTCCGGTCTGCTTATCGAAACACCATCCAAACATGGAGGCACCCAATACTTGAATCGGAAACGCCCATGGAAACACTAGTGGATTCACCATTGCAGTCACTATGGGAGTATGGGAAGCCTTTGGAAACACCATTGAAAACCCTTGGACACACTGGAAAGGCCATTGGAAAAAACCATGAAACACTGGAAGCACCATTGGAGTCACCATTGGAGTCACCATTGGAGTCACCCTGAGCTGTTTGTTGGAGTCACCTTGGGTTCATGGACTTTAATCACTTTTGGTATTGCCTAGGTCCCCCAGCTAGGTGCCTTTCTTAACCCCTTTTTTGGTTGGGAGGGTTCCCCTACTAAAATAGACTACAGCAAAAAACTCGGGTACCCTTATTCTAACCTCTCTACTGGAGGACCTAGTTGCCATTTTAGTGGCAAACAAAATCGTGGACTTGTTTTGTGCCCTTTTTTGTGTTACCATTTTGGTGGCAAACAATACGTTCATGGTTACCTTTCTCGCCCATCTTGCCCACTTTGTGACGGTTTCGACCATTTTGGTGGAGAAAAAAAAGGTCCGTGGTGACTTGTTGGCCACTTTTTGTGTTTTGGACCCTTTTGGCGGCAACAAAACCAGTGTGCGGTTCCATGTGGTTCCGTTTTTTCGCCTATCCACTCCTTGGGATTTGTGTTCCCCGAGGCCAAGCCCGCCGCGCCACGTGTCGCCGCGCTGGAGCCCCCGGAACTCCAGCCTGCGGAGGCCGTCGGTGAGAGAGCGGGGCGCGTTGAAAGGAAACGAGTCCTGAGTTCATGAGCTTTAAACTTTTTGGGAAGACCATCTTAGTGGTAAATACAAAGTTAGGGATCCATGTATAATATACCTACCTCTTAAAAGCACAACTGTTCAACTTTTCGGGTAACATGGGCTATATGTCTGTAAAAGATTAACTGGGCTTGGAGTCTTAAGGGGTAAGTATAATGTCACACATGGGTCAACCCCCTGGGTTTAGCGGGGAAGAATCACTCTTGGAATAATGCTTTGTCAGCATTGTTGAGTCAACCAACCAGTTTATTTCACCCAGGGACAAATCCTGCAGCACTTTGAAAGTAGTATTGAAAACCATTGTGTGTTGGTATTTACAGGGAAACATCATTCCAGGGTTTCTTAGGCGGTGCAGGATTTCGTCCATCCACAGTAGGTCCCCCAGCTAGGTGCCCTTTCTCACCCCTTTTTTGGTGGACCTTTTTTGGTTGGGAGGGTTCCCCTACTAAAACAGATGACAGACAAATTGGTACCCTTGTTCTAACGTCTCCACTGGAGGACATAGTTAAACCACAGGGTCCATGTAACCCTCGTGGGTATATATGTTCCCCCAGTTATATTAGTCACTTCCTGAGTTTATGGACTCTGCACTTTTTGGGAAGACCATTGTAGTGGTAAATACTAAGTTCGGACCCCATATGAGTCAACCCACCTGTTTATTGATAGGGGGATGCTTTTTCCTGGGTGAAATGTAGGGAAGCATTCCTTTTGGAGGGAAACGCGGTTGATTATATAATATGGTCAGCATCATTTGGTCTCTTCCATTTGCTTAGGTTAATGGTTCATGGGGGGGTTCATTCCATGTCTCATTCCATTCTGTGTAATAAATTAGGCTCTTCGTGTCTTGCTTGCGAACCAGGTTTTTGCTCGTTTGGAACCGTGGACATCATTCGACATTCAAACGTTTACAAAAATGGTCCAGAATCTAACTTCCATTTGCTGAAAGTATGTGTTTTACTTTCCCCTTTGGGTTTAAAGGGAATCTATCACTACTGTTGTTTTTGTTTTCTTCCGGGGGACGTAAATGGAGGTAATCTTCCATTACCAACATTTGACGACACTTTTGGAGGGTGCACACTCCATGTACATGTTACATATAAATATATATGTACATACATTTTGACCCACTTGGAGGGTGGGTAAACATTGCCAATGGACTGCAAAAGGGGTTGGTTCCCCATTTCCATCTCGTGAGCGTGTGTCTCAAGTCCCTAGATGGAGCCCCATCATGTGTAAGAGCCGAATTACCACCCCCGAGCCCTCAAAAAGGGTCTTGAAGTCCAAAAGCCAAATGCAAAAATCCACGAGACGGTCGGGGACCAAATTCCCAAAGAACCGTCCAGTTGCAAAAAGACCATAGTTTGAGACACGGTTTGCGTCGACGTTGCTTTTAGCCACAGCTGTCCTTGGCCAGTTTGACCCGTTTGCAACCCGTGTGTTTGTAAGTGGCGAAACCGCCTTAGCGCCGGCAGATTTGACAGTGATTTCAATGATCCCTGGGTCCTTGGCTCCAAAACCCATAGACAGCCCTGGTTTTCATTTTGCAGGATGCCACGGAAATCAAGCAGGTTTTCTGGATGACACCCACAAAAGTCCAACTCACTTTTTGCAGAGGGATCGTTACAGGAACCAAGATTTATAGGGACTCGCTGGATGCAATTCGCAGCCTCCGTGCTTCACGCATGAAAGGTTGATCCAATCCACACCGCATTTCGCTTCTCGGACAGGGCTCCTTAAAAGATCTCCATTTTGCCCATCCATTTGAAACATGTGGCTTTTTCAACACCAAAAAGTTGGACACCACCATCGACAAGTTGCAATGTTCTGGTGTATAGTGCATCCGGATCCCCGTCGGAACCTAGGGGTTCCCATCGAAGTTGTGAAGACATCCGAGGATGTTTTTGTCGGCATCTCTAGCTAGGTCCCCCAGCTAGGTGCCCTTCTCACCAACTGTTTGGGCCCTCACTTAAATAGACTACAGAATAAAGGGTACCCTTATTCTAACTTCTCTACTGGAGGACCTGTGGTCTCGAATCGCTGCAGTCTTTTCGCACCAAAGGGGGATCAGAATGGCATCAATAGCCAACATTAGCGGCCCCAAGCTTGCGACAAAAGAGCTCCCACCCTTTTTACATGGAACCTGACTTGTTTTGGCTTGTTTGGGGGGTGGTTTGGACAGTTTTCCTTTTTTTCCAGGCCCCCGAACTCCCGAACGCCAGGCTCCACGTCCCTTGGGAGGGTTCGTTCGCCTGCAGCCCCCCGGGCGGTCGAGTCGGGGAGTTTCAGGAAAATCGGGCCCCACACGCGCGATCCGATGGCGCGGGCACTTGGTGAGACATGGTACCGTTGTTGGGAAACATTTGAAACATTTGTGATCTTCTTGTGGTTTAGGAAAGATTGTTGGGAAACATGTTTGGGAAACATTTTTTGGGAAAACATTTGAAACATTTTACATTTAGTAGCTAAACATTTTACATGTTATCGGTTTTGATTTTCTTGTGGTTTAGTGCTTGAAATCCAACCACTTCACTGCTAAAATTTGATATTTTTGCTCCCCAAACCCAACGTCAACCATGGAGAAGCGGTGGACGGTCGAATCCAGTTGGACGGCCAGTTCGGCGAATCGAATTTGGCGGAGAGCCAAGTTTGCCATGAGCTCTTCCTTTGCCTTTCAGTCCTCCTGCTCACAAGCCCCCCGGAGAATGTTTTCCGAAGTCATGCAGTATTGACCCCCAAAAACAGATCTTTCCCGGGCTGTGTCTTCTTTTGAGGTTGCCTAGAACAAAAGGAACCAACAGGAAACCCATCAGATCATCAGGAAGTGGAATGTGTGTCTTCTTTTCAGGGTACCTTATTTCTTAGGGAAAAAAGGGACACCCAACCGGAAACCCATCATTTTGGGGGTCGCACAAAACACATCCGCTTGGAACTGGCGCACTTCAGCTTAGGACGGCTCCCTCTTCAGCCGCCGCGCAGTTCTGGAGGAGGACTTGCAGAGGCGTCTGCCCATGTTTCGCCTGCCACTGGCTGCTGCCCCGAAAGCACCAAAGGCGAAATGACAAAATTCCAACCCGTTGTTTTTGTTCTATTCCCCTTTATCCACATGGGTGGCTCGTCATTTTTTGAGGGTTCTGTGTTGCGCCATCTACTTCACCTTTTGTTTGAGAGATGTCCGAGTACATCTCAGACATCGGAGAACAGCTCAGCATCCCGCATGTTTGCCTTCCCAATGTTCGGACCGGCTAAAAGTTGGCTAGTTACCTTCAGGTGCCCTATGTTGACTCCGGATGAATAAGCCAGTCCGATTAAAAGGGTTGCCAGTCACAAAAGTGAAGGATGCTCTCAAGAAGGGGACTCCCCACCAATTTATCAACCAGTCAGGGGCTTATCTCAATCCGGGGTTGCCATTTCTTGTGTCCATTCTGATTTGCTCACCATTCTTGTTCAGAGAGCGGCATCTCCGAGCCACTCCCACGACCTCGAGGGAAGTGGCGCATTCGATACCAACGCCCCTTGTTGCTGCTGAATTTCAGTTGTACAAAGCGAATCGACAGGATCTGGCCTATTGATTTTCCTATTTGGGGTTCCCACTTTTGGTCATTGCCCCAAAAGGTCAACGGTTAGTTTCCAGGTCCGGAATGGGCAACTGAGGTACTTATCGTGCTTTCATGCGACCTTTAAGCTGTTCCCTGAACCCTTTAAAATTCCGTCAAACACGTTTGTTATAGCCCCAAAATTATGGGGTGAATTCGCTTTTTGTGGGTAAACTGAGGGTCCAGGTAGGCGTGTGTCATGTGTTTCTTCCATTGCCACGCGCCAAGCGCTTGCGCAACTCGCAACTGCTCGCAACTTTTCGTTTTTGGCAGGCAGGGCCTCTACGAGGGCCAGCTGAGGAAGAAGTCCAAGCCCAAATCCTGATCTCTGAAAGCCGATCCGAGCCTGGAAGATGGGAATGGAACTTTTTGCAGGGGGGTCAAGAGCAACCAAGAAAGCAAAGGGCTGATGGGGATGTTCACCCTCTATAAGGTCCCCCAGCTAGGTGCCCTTTCTCACCCCTTTGCTGGTTGGGAGGGTTCCCCTACTCAAATAGACTACAGAGGATTTGGCTTCTTTGTTTTAACTGGGCTGTCCGTCTGATGCCCTGCCAACAGGACTAACTTTGAGTGTTTTAAATGGACACCTGGTCTGGAGGCAAGGCAAAAGGAATCCGCGGGCCTGTCCAATTGACTCCATTTTCTTACAGTTTTCGATTGTTTTCATGTTACCTCCCCACGCAAAAACACCCACCCACATCACTATGAAGCAGTTATGAATCAATGCAACGGAGAATGTTCTGTTTATTTTTATGATGCGGATGAAGGACACTTCACCACACGATATTTACTTCAGTGTTGCTCTGAATCCCACCGACAGATCACTAGATGGCTCAGCTTGCCAGCGTCGTTTCACTTGAGTCCGCTGCAGAAACGTGCAGTGGGACCAACTTAGTTCGGGTTGTATTACACCCTGCCGTTGCACCGAATGTTCGCGAATGGCCCACATAAAAACGAGAGATTTGGGGAATTTCGTAGATGCAACTTCATGGACCGGGTGCAATACGCCATCCCCACCCCTTACAAGTGCAATTGGGGGAGGGGGTGACCACTGGAGATCTGCATTTATGGTAGCCCAAATTCCTCTTTATGGGAAGACTAGATAAATGGAAGACCCACTCTCCTCTCCCATAAGGTAGGGTGTAGTACGAAGCCCTTCGAGCCGAGGATCAAAAAGGATTGCACCTCGTGCGCTCGTGCGCGCTGCTTTCACCCGACCGACGAGTCGTACGCCGTATGCGCGAATCTGCGAGGGTATCGACGTAGCTGCGAGCGTCGACGAAGGACGACGAGTTGGTGTGCGAGGTAATTTGCTCCGGGCTTGATACGAGTTGACATCGGTTTCTCTTGACATGTGGCTTTGAACATCAAGCAAGTTAGCTTGGACATAATATGGAACCTGGATGAGGATGAGCCTAAGAAACGGCAAGCCCTGGCCCCCGCTCTTGCGAAATTGGCAAAACATTGGAGCGATCGATGTCCAAATGCGTTTGCGACGGGCACTTGAGTCTTGGACACTTTCCGGGCCTGCTTGCCCGCACATGAAATTGGATGGTACTCGCTGGTTGCTTGCGCTAGAGCGATGCCTGATCGACGTATGTCATGTCGCCCCGCTTGCCTTGCGCTTGACACTGTCTTCGCTCTGTGGCGAGCTGGCATTGCAAGTAAAAAGTCTGGTCGGGCACATAATTCCGGAAGCATTCCAAACGTCTCAATCATGGTCGGACATCTTTGTGTTTTTTCATGCATGTGTGTTTGACACTTGGCGATCCCCGCAAACATTGCCAGACTTAGCTTACCGTTTTCCTGTTTTGTTATGGGGGCTGGGGGGGAGGGAGGGGAGGGGGGAGGGAGCCCAAATAAGCCCTAAATAAGGCCTTAATAAGGGCTGGATAAGGGTTTTTTGGGCTCCCTCCCCCTCCCCTCCCTCCCCACCAGCCCCCATAATTTTGCCTTTTGGGCTTTCCATCCAGCATTGTGCCATTCAACCAGCAAGTGTTTTGTTGCAGGCCAAGGAGCTCGCTGGACCAACTTTGAACTCAAAACAGGGAAGCTGATCTTGCTGTCCGCCTTGTGCAACGTGTGTTCGAAGATCAGAGGACCCCTCTTTAAACGGTGTTGAAACGACAACCAAGTAGAAGCCGCGAAATTTAAGTTGTGCTAAAATGGTAACACTAACTGATCTTTCTTACAGAATGTTCAAAGGGAGCACCAGCTGGAATCCCGACTTTAATGGTGCAACTGGAAGCCAAAAGGAATCTGTTTACACATTTCATCATTTCTGCCAGGGAGAGAACCAAAATGACACCAACCATCTTGAGTGATTTGCATGGCCACCGTCTGTTGAACTTGGCCGCATCTGAAGCTGCGAAACTCAGAAACTCACCTTCGCCTGCGCGCCTTCCATTTCTTTTTCTGCGTGTTGGGTTTGTTTCGCGAGGCGTAGACTGGGTCAAGGCGCCTGAAGAGGCCAGGTGGCGGAAATATCTTTCCCATTCCAAAAAACCGGTTCCTGGACCCTCAAACTACCCTGAAAAAATGGTTATAGCCCCAAAATTATGGGGTGATTGCTCGTTTTTATGCTAGTTTGAGGCTCTTGAGGGTCCAATTTCGAAGCCACAGAATGCTTAGGGGCCTCATGCCTCAAGCGCGTCGCTGAGAAAAAGAGTGTGTCCAAATGCACAGCTGGTATAGCGCCGCCAAGTTTGCCTGGGTGCCGGATGCTGCCCAACGTTCAAGTCGACTTGGCAGAACGAGGAGGCTGCGCCGCTCCCTGCAAACTGTTGCAATTTGGCAAGTGGCGCGAGCAGGCAGTGCGGAAAAGCAATGCCGCAACTGTCCTGGGTGCTTGAAATGACGCATTGCCGAGCAATCTTGGCTTCCAGGCCGGAGTTGACTGGAAAAAGGCA